AAAAAAAGCTGCAGTTGTAATTCATATAATTAAGACTTCATCATAATATCATAATGCTTCATGATGATATGTCCATAAAGTAGTATTATACGGGAAGCCATAATATCCATAATTAACTTCATTGTGCTATAAAACTCACTCGTCGTGTTTAATTGGTTTAGTGAGACTGACATTTTCATAATGCCTGGCACCTAGAGGGCAGGTGTAATAATAATTCATGGCTCCATTAGCCCCGGTTTTCCCTTCTTCAAGCTTCTCCCGTGCTAATGAAGAGGACAATGTATTTAATTTTTCCTCCCAGAGTTCAAAATTCATCACACTATGTGAGTTTTATGACCAGAAGAGAGAGCTTGGGATTTAACTTTAATGAATCTGTTGGTCTAGCAACCTTTCTGTAATTTTTCTGCCTGGGATTTTAATGACTCCTATTCATGATCATTAATTACTGATTTTCAGCTTTTATAGAATCATAGAATAGTTAGGGTTCGAAAAGACCTTAAGATCATATGGTTCCAACCCCCCGCCGTGGGCAGGGACACCTCACACTAAACCATCTCATCCAAGGCTCTGTCCAGCCTGGCCTTGAACAACTCCATGGATGGAGCATTCACAGCTTCCCTGGACAGCCCATTCCAGTGCCTCGTCACCCTGACAGTAAAGAACTTCTTCCTTATATCTAATCTAAACTTCCCCTGTTTAAGTTTTAACCCATTAACCCCTTGTCCTGTCACTACAGTCCCTAATGAAGAATCCCTCCCCAGCATCCTTATAGGCCCCCTTCAGATACTGGAAGGCTGCTATGGGGTCTCCACACAGCCTTCTCTTCTCCAGGCTGAACAGCCCCAACTTTCTCATGATACCCAGTTTGTTTTCCTTCTCAGTTACACTGTTTTGCATCAGTCTTACTGCTCTAGTCTCACTGAACTTGCTCTTGCCAGATAAGACTCAAATTTCTGGTGGAGAAAAAAGTTTCTGGAAAGATACATGGCTTGGTAGAGTAGGTCTATACAAAGAGAAACAGAGTAAACAGCTTACAAAGGCTACACAGGAAGCCCATTGCTGAACACGAAGGCATTTCTAGAAAAGGAAAAATAAAGGTACTTTAATCTGAAAAGAGTTGAAAGAGTCAGATTCTCTCTCTAGCACTTATCAATGGTGTGTAATTAAAGAAGTCTCAGAATCCCGTTTTATAATCCTCTCCTTATTAATTCTTTCTCTTTCTTATATTCTGTCTTTTTGAATCTTGCATAGTCAAGCTTACATTGTTGAAGTCATCTGGCCATAAAAGATTTGTACAGGATGTACTGTTAGGATTACAGTTTAAGCTAGTGAACACCAATACTATATTGGAAATAATATGTGAACAGGTGCTTATGTGTACTGGAATATTTATATTGCCTTGAATCACCTGTCTGTTGATCTGGGTTTGCTACTTAACACCCAGCACAGAGATTTGAACATGTAATGGTGCTGTATTGAAAGGTGGGAGGGAATGACATACCTGCTATAAAGTCCGTTTAGGAAAGGAGGGGTGAATTCGAGCTAGAAGTTTAACCCTTGAACTTTCTGGTTGTTCAGTTTACCTGAAGAACCAGCCCTAGAAAGCCTCTGTCCTAGCAGATGGTATGGCTAGGAGGTTAACGGCTTGCTCTTGGGGCAGTACCTGGGGCCAGTGCAGGTGGCTACCACCCTTCTCTGCCCCTCTAGCAGGCCCAGTGCCAGCACTGGCCTGCTCACAGCCATGTAGCAACTCTTGCCTCTAACCACACCTCACAAAGGGGGAAACAGTGCCTGTGCCACATTAATACTCAACAGAATGAACAAGCACATTTTCAGATGAGAAAGCAGAGTGGTTTCACAAGTTGGTGGAGTTTATCAAGGCTCTTCTCTATTTTGCAGCTCATGAAGCAAAACCACTTAGATGCAAGGAAAGCAACTTCTTAAAGGAATTCAGACTGGACAAAGATTATGTGAAGAAACTGACACTATGAAGGCTGTGTCAGACAGTAAGTACCATAGGGCTAGGTGTTGCCTTCCTTCTGCCTTCTCACCTTCACCTTCTGGCACAGAGTCTACTGACAGGCAGCTTCTAGCTTTGGCGATTGTCACTCAAATGGAGTACATGTTTCTCCTCTTGTTTATTCCCCATGCTACGTGCATTTGCACAGAAACATTTAACTTGTGCCCCAATGAAGCTGGCTTACTGGCTGGAGTGGCAGCAATTCCTTTGTGATGCTCTTCAGGTGTTCTCCTGCTGACCTGTAATCCCCCTCAAGGCTCTGAGCAATCTCTTGCTGGCACTGGCATCTATCTGGTAGGAATGGGGTGGATTGATGTTCCTCTCCCCTGGCAACTTTAAAGCCTTCTTCACCAGCTTGGCAATCTTATGACTGAAGATGCTCTTCACCTTCTCTGACAAGTGAACCCCATCACCCCATCAGTAGACCATATTTCTCAAAGCAACTCCTATGGTCCAAGTAGCCAAACCCTCCCCGGCTGTGGCACCAGGCCCATAACCATTCATTGGTCTGCCAGATCTGACCAGTCCTTTCAAACCCCTTCCTTTTGACTAGAAGACTGATGAAAAACTATATGCACTCCAGAGTTTATGAGTCTTTATTTCCTCCCCAGGGAGCATGGTGCCTGAAGTCCACTCAGCTTGAGACCTTGCCTAGTACCCTGCTCTATTACGGTAATGGAGCATGCTGGACAGACAAGTACCTCAAAAGAGGAGCCTTGCACTTTGTTAGTGCATACACCACTGCCAAGACTGTCATGCTGTCTATCCCGTTCTTCAAGTAAGAAGCAGCTGTGCACAAATTGCTTTGTATTGTGCCAAGCAGGGCACAATCTACTCACCCCCAGCCTCCCATCTGAGTGGACAGAATGACAGCCTCTTGGTTTGCTTCATGGTGTGTCAGCTAATAGAGGTTACCTCTCCTTTGTACCTTGTCTACTACTCTTCACATCACTGTGGTTGTAACAACCCTCCTTTTAAACAGACATTTTCTTCAGCAGCTGGAGCACCCAGATGCTTCAGTCTGTCCAGCCAGACATGGAGACTGAGGGGCTGTGTCCACGCTCACGGCCTGCCTCCTGGGACCCACAGGAAGGTAGGGTAGGGACCCACAACATCAGTGTTTTGTGGATTTTCAGGCTGGTTGCTTTAGTCACTTACTGACGCCACAGTGACCTTTCTACTACAGGGACTCACCTGCAAGGGATTTTCTGTCCCTCCCCAGAGGAGGCAGGTACCTTTTCACGTCATGCAGGGTAAACCCTTCAGGTGACTCTGGATGTTTTTTAAAACAACATGAGTGCAGTTTGCAAGACCATGAGCCTGAGACAAGTCATAATGCTCTGAGCTGATTAAATTCTACCATCTGCAGTGTGTGCAGATTGACGGAAGCAAAGCATTGTTTGTGCTATGAATGACCATTTAGATTACCTCTTTCCTACAGTCAGCAATCAAAAGGGAAGTCTGGAATTAAGTTTGTTGCAATGGACATTGTCATAATGCAGATAAAGTGCTTAAAGAAGTGCTGATTTCCTGAACGGAAGGGTTACACACGTGAATGTGAAAAACAACTGAAAAAAGGTTTTATGTAACTGCTCCTGACTGACTGAATTTGAAAATGTACAGTCACAGCCCTAAAGCTAAAATCTCCCCTTTACCACCCCTAACCTTCAAATTACTGCAAGAAAATACCACCAGAAAAAGGACTGGAGCAAGATCTTCGGAGCTAAGATGTTTCTGCTAAACCTGGAACTGGCTGCTGAAATTTACTTGAAATTAGCTGGAGGATTTTTCTGCTCTTTTCTGGGAGCTCCTGCTGTAAATGAATGACTTTGGTTCAGAGTATTATCTCCTCTCTCTTCCAGATCAATGCAGTTTCTAACATTTCAAAACAGAAAGCTGTTTGCCCTCCCTGAGCGGCTGCTGCCTGCCTCCAGGAGCACCACTCAACCTGCCACTTCTATGGCACAATGCTAGGGGCTAGACTTCCAGGGTCCTACTTACCCATCCAGGGAGAGCACCTGGTGCACCACACATTTCCTGAAAGATTGAGAAAACTTTAAACTGTTTAAATATGTAAGGCTTCTGTCAAACTGGTTTGCAAATGCACAAAAATTTGCACATCTCTCTCTCTTTCTTGTGCCTTTCATAACTAACGGTGCATTGGAAAGCAGCCCATAATACTGACTATGGAAAGGGTAACAGGAAAGAAGCACTAATGTGTTCAGTTGTTTGCTGTATTGACAGGATGGAGGTAGTAAAAATTGTTCTTCTGGCTTAGTTTTTCCATGTAGATGACAGCAATTCTCTCTATGTATCACAGTTTATCATACAGAATCCTCTTCATTATTGAAGAAGATTCCTTGAATCCAAGAAATCCTCTTGGATTATTATGTTAAAATTTTCCATGGGTCTGATTGCCAATTCTGAGAGCATGTTGCAGTCAAGACAATTAGGTGGCTGTGCCTCCAGGTTTTGCTTTTCTATATTTCTAACCTCGTCTCAGGGAAGGCTCCTTCAACTACAGCACATGGTAAAGATGTGAGAAGAGGTCAATGCCATTATAATGTCTAATGAAAAAGTGTGAGTGCAGTGGTGCTAGCTTTGAACACTGCACATGGTCTACAGTTATTGCATTCCACATCACTCTGAGGAGGATTCATCATTAATAATTTGTAGTAACACGTGACTTCTAATTTACTGAATTCTTCTTTCTGTTTAAAAAAAAAAAAAAGGAAAAAACTACATAATTCATCTTCTTGCAGCTCATGTTGTATCAGAGATGGCTGTGCTTTTAGGAGGATATTTACTCCTCCAAAGTGTCAAAGCATGTACTCCAGCATTTAGGGAGGCTGCTTAGCCAAAGACAGTCTGCACTCAAATCTGATAGCCTGATTAAGAGGAAAAATACGGTCCCTACACAAGAGATCAGATTTGTTACGCTGCATGGGTGCCTTAGAGAACAGAACAGCAAGTAACTTACCACGTCAATTATCTGCAGCAAAGAAAGCTGGAGCTCGACTACAAGGGGTTGGGAGTCATTCACCACTGGTCTTTCAAGACGATTGTAGTTTCTCAGCAGTTCTCTGTACAAGCGCCTCTGGCTTTCGCCCTGCTGAGAGCCTAGGGGAAAAGAAAGAAGGCATCTATCATTTGGGCTGGTCACACTGTCCCTACTGCTTGTCTATTTTGTTGAAAAACCCATCTTTATGAGTCTTTAATTTGAAAGAAGTTCCCCCCAAAATTCTGTACATGGGTTTGACAGACACAGCTTTTATGAATACACGACTGAGAACCTCTTATGAAAAATTAATTATTAAAACTCAGAAACTACTGACCAGCCTCTGGGGCTCTGTGTAAATGTCCCTCTTCTTTGGTGCCCCTCCTGCTGATGGTCAGTGATGTGGCTCCAAAACCACCAGCCAGCTTCCTAGAAGACAGTCAGAGCTTTTATTGGCTTGTCCTTATTTCCTAGAACTGGTATTACTTGGACATACTGTGCATTTATGCAGCATGAGTAACATGTATTCTTATTTTTTGGAGCTGATGTATCACACCCTTTGCTGTGCTCAGGAAAGAGTGACAAGCCTTCTTCATACCCTCTTCAGTTTTTTGTGGCAGGCTTTCCAGTCTTTGGGTTACTTCCCTTGTCTTTTTTCCTTCTGAAGGCAGCACACTTTGTTAACACATAATAAGATAGTGGTATGAAGGTTGAAGTATTTGACAGGTATGTATAATGATACTGAATTCCTGGTGTTACATGCTTAACTTAGTTTTCATTGGGAACAGCCTCAACACAGAATCTGTCATGCAAACACATGAGCATGATAAAGACTAGCAGAATTTCAGTCTATGCTTATATTGCAAGATGCCCCTGTCCCCCAGATTTGGGGTGGGTATGGAGAGCATCCATCTAACCTGCATGGCCAGGTTTTCTTGCCACAACAACCATGGATGGAGCAGGACAGAAGTGAGAGCTTGGGTCTCTTTCCACAGAAAGGTGAGCACTTTGCTGGGAGACACTACCGAAGAACTTGGGTCCCCCGAAACAGTGTAGGTGCTGGTGTGGTGGCCAGCAGCAGCCTGAGCCCTACCGAAGAGCTGCATCTAACAGAGTGAGGGTTCATGGACTGCAGGTTTCCTGAGGCCAGACCAGTTCTGTCAGCATGAATGCGTATTCTCTGAACTGTAGAAATCCAATCCCTGGCAGGGAATCTGCACTCTAAATTATTATTACTTTGGACTGAAGAATTTTTTATCCACTGCAGCTCCTAGTCTCTGCGTGTGACTATTTTTACCTCTTAAGCAGAGCTCTGCACATTGAGACCAGGACTTCTCTCACAGTGGTTATGATGAATATCTTTTTGACAATGCAACAGTTTGGCCTTCCCCAGACTTTTCCTTCAGTCTTCCTCTGACTCTCTGCTCAGCAAGCCTTGCAAGCCTGGAACACGGTGTTTTCCAACACTGCATCCATGCCTTTTAAAAATAATGTAAATTTAGTTTATAAGCAGTTTGTAAGTCTGCTTAATTTGTGTTCTCCTCCGTTTTCCTGATATTAAAGGGAGCTTTGCAGCTTTGCAGTATGGAAGTGCCTGGTGAACAAGGAGAAAAAGCATTTTTGTTTATTTTGGTGAGTTACACCAACATATCATCTTCATTGGCCCTTTCTGCTCTTGTGTAATACATTACATGATCATGGGGATCCAGAGGAGCAGATTGTGTAAGCACTGCTTCAATAGCCCTTGCCGACATGTCAGGATTGTATGCTATGTTTTCACCATTGGCAAAGACAAGCTCTGGCCACAGTATCTCTCCCTCACAGCTTAAGTAAGCTTCCCTGCAGTGATTTAAGTGCTCTGTGTTGGCATTAGTACTTGCTTTCTAGTGTCTCAGTACATCCCAGCTCTCTTGTAAGACCTTCCTGTGGAAATGACACCAGTGAAAATCACAACACCTTGTTCTGTGGAAAGAGGTTGTGAGCTTTGGTCAAATTTGCTGTCCTCTTACCCACCTGCCAATCTCACCACCCTCCCAACGCCACCCCCATGTTGCTGTGTTTTAGGGGAGAAATTACCGTCTGCACTATTGCTCTCGAGTACTTACATAATATTTGTCTTTAACCTTCTTTTTAAACTGGCTGCTACAGCTTTTATAAGGGAAAAGTGCCCTTCATCAGTCTGTGGAAGTCAGCTGGGCTGCTAGAGTGCCCTGGTATCATTGCTGTCATGGTGCATTAAAGCAGTCCCGCCAAGGGAGTTCTGACTTGGAAAGATCTGACCATAACCCTTTGCTGTGTTCTTCAGAAAGCTGTCTTAGTACTGTGTGCTCCAACTGTGCTGAAGCCAGGCTCCTTTCCCTGTTAAACTTCATGAGTTGAAATAGCCCAGTAAAGCAATTTTGCACCTGGTTTTCTACACTTCTTCAGCTCTCCCCTCTGCAATGTGACCCTATTACTTTGTGACCTCTTATATCCAAAATTGTTAACACAGCCTTAGCTGACCTATTCTTAGCCCGCTGATTTGACACTGGTGACCACATGTTCATGTGCTGCATCAGTTTTCTTTAAAAATTACATAGATTCCAAAGCAGTAGAGCCTTCGGGTGTCCTGGCAAATAGTCATGGTGGCTGTTGGTACCACATAGATCTGGCTAGTGTAATCACACTGCCATCTCTCTGTTATGGCTGTGCTGGAGAAGGAATTGAGGTGGGTCACAAGTCAGATTTGTATTTTCATCAACTTTTTCTTTAAATTGCAGTCTTCAAATACTTAATGTTTCATACTCCAGAGAGTTTTCTGTTTTTTTCCCCTCTAATCCTTGTGCTAATGCATTGTGACATTACATCTTTGTGTGTTACATGGAGGGCGTGCTGGTGATGGGGAAGCCTGGATCTCTTAGGAGTAATGATAGAATAAGCTTTACCACTGCTTACCCCTCAGTCACAGAAATCTAACTAAAGTCTATGGCACTGTTTCAGCTTGTAAACTAGGCTAGAAGCTGGACATCAATATTTAAGGTTGCCAAGTCAGTCTCCCAAAAGGAATGCCAGACTTACTTGCCTATATGTATTACAGGAAGTTACTGGCAAAGTACAAGTAACTGGCAAAGGGCAGGATGACCTCTGGGTTAAGGATCTTTAAACTATAGATATCCCACATCCCACTGCCTCAGACAGTATCCCCCTTGTTTCTGAATTATCTTTGAATACCCCAAACCTATGAGTAGGAAAAATAAATTGAAAAAAAAGAGAAAAATAAATGAATACCATAAAAATAGAAATAAAGAGGAGAAGGAAAAGGAGAAGGAAAGGGAAAAGGATAAGAAGGGAAAGGGGAAAAGGAAGGGAAAAAAGGACACTGACTAAAACTGTCAAGGCCCTTCCTCATTCCTTGTGTACTGGATATGGTTTCAGTGGTTGCACTGGTTTGTTCCTTTACAATTTTACTTCACCTGTTGAGGAGACACAGTGCTCTAGGCATATTGCTGCAGGTTGACAATGAACCTCTTCCATGTTCTCTGTCCAGGTGGGATCCTCTGGGCATGGACTGCCTGTTGCATGCTTGAGTGTCATCCTATCGTCCTCACCAGTAATAGTGGTGCCACCATAATACTCTTTATTTCTTCTGTGGGTTTGGGTTCAGACCTGGGGAAGTGTTTCCTGGGGCTGGAGGCTATTCAGCATTGTCTGGTAGGAATGAATGGCTGTCAGAATTGCAGGTAGCTCTGGCCAGACTAATCATATGCCACCCCAACGGAGGCCAGGTGCTCCTTCCTTTCCTAGGAGTTGTGCTGTCATATCTGGTCTTGGCTGGTTGATGCTTGTGCTCTGCTTTGTATACAGAGTTCCTTGAGCTACAGGGCAAGAGTCCAGTTCTTGCCAGTTCCCCCAGTTTGCTCTAGAAGTTGTCAGCATCCTGGACTGAATGTGTGGGCCACATTCTGGCTTGCTATGCACAGTAAAGAATAATATTGAAATATTAACAAGAGTAGGTAGAAAGACACGGATTTCCATGAGATTTTCAGCCACAATACCTGTATTTATACATCATTCTGGGACAGGTTGCCCAGAGAGGTGGTGAATGCCCCATCACTGGCAGTATTCAAGGCCAGGATGGACAGAGCCTTGGGCAACGTGGTCTAGTGTGAGGCATCCCTGCCCATGGCAGGGGGCCTGGAACTAGATGATATTATCGTACTTTCCAACCCTAACCATTCTATGATCATATGATTCTATGATTCCACCATCGGTTCATAAAGTTCCCTAGTTTTATTTTCATAATCTTTGAACATTTTCTTTGGCCAGCTGCTAGGTGAATGTTCTCTAGCTGTTGCTTTATTTATACAACGTTATGGAAGTTATTGGGACCAAGGGATCCAATAAGGAATGATTTCAGACCATTCTTCCCATATTACTGTATATTCACACATACACATCTCTGAATTCCAAAACATGCCCTTTTTTAAATTTCCCTTCTCAAAAACAGTTCCTAGAACTGTTTGCATATTACAAACTGTTTGCAGATTAAGTTAAAATCAACAGTAATCAACATATTCCTGGTCCATCACATTATTGCTTTTAAAAATGTATTTTCCCTGATACCTCATGGAAGATCCTAAACTGCAGCAATACTGTGGTTGTGGTATTTATTCACACCTTCTGCAGGTACTTCAGAACACACATGTAATTTTTTCTTTCTCTGTATTGTTACTTTGCCACATTCCCATGATTTATTTGCTTGTCTTACTGTTTCCTAAAACAAATCAAGTGGAGTTCAGGCATTTTTTAAAAAAACAGTGTCACTATACTGAAAAGTATTGTTATATTTTGCTGTGTACAATCTTGTTATAACTGGAACATTCAGAGAGCAAAAAGCCATTACAACAACCTATAGTTATTAGAGCTAAAACTTTGAACCTTTTAGCATTTTTCTAATAACCTAACCTAACAGCTCTTCTGTCATAGTTCCTCTTGGATTATTTATTTTTTTTTAGTTTATCACTGTACTTTTATAGAGATTTTTAGCAATTTCTTTGGGAGTACAAATAGAATCATCACAGGAAGATGCACACACACTATATGCAATTATGAATTATGGGGGAAGTAACAGAAGTAGTATCAG